AGGTCTTGTGACAGAATGGAAGTGTGAGAGTAATATAATACTTTGTCAAACCAGTAGGTGGTTGGACTACTACTTAACAATTCACTCATGGATTTGATTCTGGTCAAATACCAGAACATATAATATCTGTCCATCATTCCAAGTGTGTTAGGTCTTATGACAGAATGGAAGTGTGAGAGTAATATAATACTTTGTCAAACCAGTAGGTGGTTGGACTGCTACTTAATTCATTCATGGATTTGATTCTGGTCGAATACCAGAACATATAATATCTGTCCATCATTCCAAGTGTGTTAGGTCTTATGACAGAATGGAAGTGTGAGAGTAATATATGAATAATACTTTGTCTCTTTAAATGTGAAATAAATGATATTTCTATTTTATTTTAAAAACTTAAATTTTAATTAAGAGGTCCTTCCAGTGCTCGTGGAGCTGGATGAAATCTGGCTACAGGCCAGTTGAACAGCTCTGCTCAGATGTAAATACTTGGTTGTAATTTGGTGCAAGTATAGCTTGTTAATTTTTAAAATACAATGAAAACCTAAAGATTAGAAGACATGAACAAGTTAAAACATGAAAGATTGAATAAATGAAGTATGTTGAACACTCAAGTAAACGTGCAAAGTGTGATTTGAAGGTATGACTAAAACAGTACTTGTGTTTTTATATTAGTCAGTCAAGGATGATTATGTTGAGTAACTTTAATAAGCTTGATATGTTTTTAATTTAAAAAAAAAGTTTTTAGAAGTTGATGCTTTTAAGTAAGTTTAAATGTATTTCAAGTACTGATAATTTAAAGTTCTGATCACAAAAAGTTTTCTGTTCATGTAGTTGTGCAAGAATTTGTAACTATAGTAATTTAGAAATTACACAGATTTAAAAGTTTTATAATTCCACATTAATGTACATTTTGTTATTAATTATAGTGTTGTATTTATAGCAAAGATGCTTTTTTAGACACAGAATGACTTAACTTGACTAAACCATGAACAAATACACTTGTGCTTCAGAAGTAATACTGTTATTTTTCTTTGGAAATTTGTTTTACAACTTACATCTTTAAAGTTAATTTTCTGGCAACACCTTTGTGACTTGGTTGACTTTAAAATATCCCATTGTTAATTTTGTAGTGTCCTGTTACGATATGGAGGATCCTTGTCTGCACAGAGTGCTATGAGTGTTCGATTCAATTGTTCAGGGACTCGGTTAGTGGCTCTGCGACGACGTCTTCCCCCTGTTATCTGTAATTTGCACTCTTCCTACCCAGTTGCTGAATTTGACCATCCAGGCTACTACAATTCTTGTACAATGAAAAGCTGCTGCTTTGGAGGTGATAATGATCAGGTGCTGTTTCCACTGTTTTCTTTATGGATTAGAATTTCTTTGTTCAGTGTGTTTCATCTTTCAGTCCCCTTTTTTATCATATCTATTCATTCAATATTCTGCTATATTGCTCTCAGTGCTTCAGTCAGTGTACTTAATCATTTTTCCACTCAAATATTCATTATTTAAAATTTTTACATATTCACTGATTTATTACCTTTATTTCAACCTGTTCTATTACACTTTCTGGTTCATCTCTTGTAAAACTGGGGAAATACATGGGTAGACATAAAATAGTGTAATGAAGTACAAAAATAGATTTTTTTTAACCTTTAGTTTTTGAAAAACATTCTCTGACTGTAAAAAATTAAGATGTAAATCAATTGTAAGAAAAGTTCAATAAGCCAGTTACATAATAACTATCTGAAATGAGATCATAAATGCATGCTGGATTTTTATGTTTGTGGTAATATTGTTTTATGTAATAGGGTTAACATTCTGTATGTTTACATTTGATTTTATTGAAAGGTGTAATATGCATATAACTGATAAGATAAAACTCAACTTATTGATATTTTTCAAACATGATTACGTTATCCAAATTTGCATAAAAGTTTTTTTTAATGTGGGACAGGAATGATTTCAAAATTAAAGAAACGTAACCCAATCATAATAAAGGGCCAAAAGCAGAAGTAATCAAGTAAAAACAAAATTATTAGTATATTTTGACAATTAACTAAGAATTTTTGACATAGGCAAAAGTAGAGTATATATATAATTTCCCTTTTATGAGATTTACAACTTTTATTAAAACTTGTTTAGAAAACGAAGGTAAGATATAGTGAAATTTAGGACCACTTGGAAAGCTAAATTAATAAATTAGATACAGTTATGAACTTGAAACAAATATCTATGTGATGATTATTTAGGTCCAAAGGTTGAACAATGGATTGATTTTTGGCCCTTTATTATGATTGGGTTACGTTTCTTTAATTTTGAAATCATTCCTGTCCCACATTAAAAAAACTTTTAAGCAAATTTGGATAATGTAATCATGTTTGAAAAATATTAATAAGTTGAGTTTTATCTTATCAGTTATATGCAAATTACACTTTTCAACAAAACACTAAATGTTGACAGTGTCTACTGAGTATGATTTGTTTACAAGCTGATAAGTTGGGAACTGCAAAATTTAGTGTAGTGTCTTAGACTTGTAATCTGTGAATCCTTCTGTTATGTATATGAATATTTTAAGTCAAAAAATATCACAGTTAGAAATGGTATTCTATTTAATATTTTATTTTATAGAACCAGAAAGCTTGCTTATGTGAACAAGGTAGGCAAAGAAAGGGTTATGAGAGAAACACATATAGGGCCAAAAAATGTTGTGTTTACAGTAATCTGATCAACCTTTTTTTTTGCATGTAACTTATAAGATTTTATTGGTAATTTATTATGAACTAAAGCGTAAACCAATAATATCTAATTAGGTTATGTCTGAACCCAAACAGAAAATGTAGATTATTAGTAAAATTAGCTGGTATTATTAGATGTAGAAGTAAAAACTATATATATTTATATTGGTTCTTTTGTACTTTTTAATATACATATAAATTTATGTTTTAATATATTTCTAAGCTTTAGGTTCCGATAGTATGAGAGTCATTGTTAATATTTCTGATACTTATTAACCTGTAATATACTTGTAAATTGTGGGCTCACATACACAACTTTCAATGTTAAAATGTGTTGAAAATGAATTTATACTACAACACTTTAGAATTTTTTAAGATCAAATGCACAGACTCATTTATGCAATTTTACAATAAATCTACTTGGTTTTCTACATATAATTATTTCAGTCTGTTTTTAAAAGAGAAGGTAAATAGTGATGTAAAATTAAATACACCATGTTTAGAAATTGCCAGTCCTTTGGTATTCCACATGCTCAGCATACATTTCATCCTTCTATGTTGTAGTAGGCTAGACCAAAGCTTTAAGACACCTTTACTAGAAGGTTCTACTGATACTGTCAGTTCTCCCTAGTGCTGATTCTGTTTGACCGTGTCAGTTCTCCATCCAATTTCCTGATTGTGGGCACATCCTGTTGGTATTTTTGATCTTAATATTTTGAGGATTACACAAATATTGTTTAGGTTCTTTTGAATCAGAAATATATTGAACTGTTTGGTTGTCATTTCACTTGAAGATTAGAACTATAATTCTTATGTTGTTTTTTTTTACAGTATGTTCTTTCAGGATCTGATGATTTCAGGCTTTATGTGTGGAAGATACCTGATGATATAGAACATAAAAAGAGTAAGGCATTACTTGGCATTTTTGTTTTGTTACCAGTATAGATTATTGATTTGTAATTTTTAACTCGTTTAAGCATCAAACAGTATATAGGGGGCAACCTATCTAGTGCAATGGTCCCCAGATCCAAAGGTAATACCGTCTCATTAAACAAGTAGGTTTTTTTAATACTGCTGTTTTTTTATTGCACACTCAGTTATATGTCTTTTATTTGATAGTAGAAAATGGGATAACGAGTTAATTATTAGTTAATAAAAAGTTTGTTGAGTAGATGGAATCTTTCAAAAACATGGGTTTCGTGGGAAATAAAATAAAAGGGGTTTTGGTGGTAAAAAGGTTGGGAACCACTGATCTAGTGTATTGATGTGAAAAAATACAAAAATCAAAAAAACATCTTACTCTGCTGGCTGGACATAATTTACCCAAATTAGTTCTGTAATAGTCAAAAGCTTATATCAAGAAAAGAATCTTTGTACCAATAAAATCAATACTTTATAAAACTAACAGTTGTGTAGCCTAATTTTTTTAAAGCTTTCAACAAATAGTTTTCCTAGACAAACAATAAAGTTTCTCTACTATGTGTCATTGATTTCAAGTAAGTGCAGTAGCAGTAATTATATTGTAGATATATCTTACTATTTGCATATATTTAAAAAAATATATCTATAAGAGGTTGGCCTTAGTGTAAATGTTAACAAAAAAAATGATAGCTGCAACAGGAAAATGAGGTCCAATAAAGACATTCTCAAAAGTCAAATTTTCCGACCATATTTTGCTTAAGCTAACAAATCCAACTTAAAGCAAAAATATATCTTATAGCCAAGTCCTTCCCACATGTTTGTTTAATGAAAAAAACAAACAAACTAAAGCAGCTTGCTATGCAACTTATGTAAAAACCATGAAAGATTTAACAGGATTCAACTGTTCATATCACTGTTTTGTGACTTAAAACAATTGATAAAATTATGGTAGAACAAGATGATTTAAGGAAGTTTTTTATTAGTAATCAATACCTTCTAGCTGTAAGTTATAAATAGGCAGTAGAAGCATTTTGTTAATTTCTGCCAGAGCAAACTGATATATATTTGCTCTAAATGCTAACCTCTCACACTTAACCATTAAGTGTTTTCTTTAAAAGAAACTTTATGTAAATCTTTTTTTTAAAACCCAGATTGTCTACTTTTATGTAGCTAATATTATGTGTGAGGCGTGTATTGTAGCATTGATACTTAATATATTCATGTTTACATAATGATAAAGATTTCTAGAGTTAGACTCGTAGATGCTAATAGAAAATTTCAGCCAGATGATATAGACTCGGTGATCCCAGTAAGATAAAATAATACTCATGGCCTGAAATATCAGTAACAGTGGGGGTACCCAATTGATGACATAATGCTTTCTAACTTACATTAAAGTTTAAATCCACACTAATGAAACAATACTAAATTTATATGGATACTAGCTTCAATGTTTCACATGTCCTCTTCAGTCTAAAGTTAGACTGAAAATAACATGAAATGTCGAAGCTAGTATTCATATAAATTTAGTATTGTTTCATTAGTGTGGTTTTAAAATTTAGCGTAAATTATTTTATACAGTATTGTGTGTTTACTTATTATTATGTTTACATCCTTGAAAAAGTATGATTTCAACTTATTTAGTAGGCTGTCGAGAAAATGGTTAAATGAAACAGGCTTGTTCATGTTGTTAGCCTGTCGAGCTAACAATTAAAGGGGACAGACTTGTTCACATTGTTAGCTTGTTGAGCTAACGATTAAAGGAAACAGGCTTGTTGTTCTTGTTTCGACACTTGATCATTTAGCACTTGTAATTTAGGGAGAGAATAATAATAATAAGGTTTACTAAACACAGGCTTTTCTATCGTGATTTTACTGACGTAACGACATTACATATTGCAATGTCATTTTAGTGTCTACTGACTGACGGACAACACATTACTATATAGTGATGCGAGTGATTAAAGCAGGTGACCCTTCCAGAAAGTATCATTCTAACTTATTTAGGTTTTGATTTTAGGTGTTTGGGTTAATAAAGCTCACCTGGTACTTCGTGGTCATCGATCTATAGTGAATCAAGTACGATATAATACACTGAGATCTCTGATAGTTTCATCTGGAGTGGAGAAGATAATTAAGGTAAGTTGATAGATGAAACATTCAAAATTGTGAATGGTTTACAGTAATTTTGTAGCTGATATTGGCAGACATGGTTATTATAAATTTGTGAACTTAAGCAGTATCAAGAAATTTACTCTGTCCTGTTGTTTATTGTCTTTAATTTGATGGAAAACAAGAGAAATACAGTTGTAATTAGAGATTGCAATAAAAGTGAAGAAAACTGAAGTTCTTCATATTCCCTTGTTCAGTGGATAAGTGTTAAACCATTTCATTTACATTTATGTAAAATTAACAACTAAAGCTGTCTATTTGCATGTTAATTTTTATCATACCTGAAGAGATTTGTTGGAAAAATAGTTTCATAACCTGAAAATTAGTGCTACCATTAAAAGAAGCAAAAAATTAGTAATAACAGTTAGATAATAAAAATTAAAGACAAATATTTTTTTTACCAGTACTTTGAACTCAAAGACAAACTAGAACTGAATTCAGTAGTTGCTCTCCCTTTAACTAATTACACAGACCTGCAATGGTTTTATTGTCGTGAAATTTGAACATGTTCTACAGTAATTCATGTACGCTGAATCCGGAAATGATGTCCATTTTTTCCATCACGTACAGATTTTTTACAAAACGTCATATTTATTTTTACATAAGTGAATCATTTTCATTGAAATTGGGTCACATTTTGTTATGCTTAAAATGTTGACAACCACTGGTTACAGATTTCTCAAGACCAATCGTGACGTGAGAGTCTTATCGATCGTTCTAGAACCTGAACATAATAATAAAAAATGTTCATTGTGATAAATGAAATAATAATTTGATCTAAGTAAGAGTTGTTTTTCTTCCTGATTTGTAAAAAATCCTTACGTGATATAAAAAATGAATATATATTTTTTAATCTGTGTAGCTGAATTATGGAAAATCTGTTATTAAAATCAACAGAGATGAAAGTCTTCCGGATA